AGCTGGAGCACTGAAGAGGGAAGGGGGACCTGCACATACCATGAAGATGGCTGATAAAACACGGTATTCCTAAGGGACAAATAGGCAGCCAAGAAGCTATTACCTAATGATACAACCAAGAGAAGCCAACAATGGACGACACGGTCTGAGGGAAGCCATCCCAGCCTGAAGTCACAGTCTTTTGCTTCCTTTCCAGACCTGATCTGGTCTCGGACCTGTGCCCCCCAGACTGGGGGAGAAGCTGGGTCTTTATGAGGACGAACAACACAAACCACAGCCAACGCTGTCATGATGCCCCTGGGCCTTCTCCAAAGGAGTCTACCGCTAGTGGTCACCCTCCGGCCACCCCACGCTGAGGAAAGGGGATCACCCAGATATTCCAAGGACTGCGGGAGCCAGGGTCCAGGTTGAACTGAGAGCTGTGTGCTCCGTGCCTGTCTCGGCTGAGACCTCTCGCCATCTTCTTAGTCCTTCAGCTTCCCTGGGGACGGTCACCTGGGGGATGCGGAGCAGGGCAACAACAGGCAAGCCCTGGTCCTCATTTCATCAGATCACTTTCCTACAAGACTTGTTTTTCTGTTCTGAGGAGCAAAGCTTGTCTCCATCCTTATGGCCACTGAAAATTTAAAGGGTGGTTAATTCTACTGGTCCTGAGCCTCACAGAAGAAAGGCCAGAGCAGGGCTGTTGTTTTATCTACAGCCAGGAAAGCACTATCTCCACGAAGATGTTAAATATATTAGTGGTACAAGCGCTGGGCACGCTCCTTTTACATGTCAGTAATAGAATATTAACAGTCAAGAAAGTCCTTATTCAGAAAACCGAGTTTTTCTTTTAAAACCAAGCTACTGTGATTTTCACACCCAAGTTCACAGCGGCATGATTCACAACAGCCAACCCAAGCGTCCATCAGTGAGTGAGCTGATAAACAAAACGTGGTCCCTCCACACAGTGGAATATTCTTCAGCCGTAGAAAGGAAGGACCGATACCTGCTAGGCGGTGGATGAACCCTGAGGACGTGACACTCAGTGACATAAGCCAGACACAGAGGGACAAGTACTGTGTGATTCCACTCACATGAGGTCCCCGGAGTCAATTCATAGACACAGAGAGTAGAAGGGTGGGGCCAGGGGCTGGAGGTGGGGATGGGGAGTGAGTGTTTGATGGTGACCGAGCTTCAGTTTCGCAAGATGGAAAAGCCCTAGAGATCAGTTGCACAACAACGTGCATATCGTTACACTACTGGACTGCACACCTAACAATGGTTAAGACACTAGATTGTATGTCATGTGTTTGCTGCCACAGTAGAACAAAACCCACGCAGCAGCAGCTGTTGGCATAGCTTCCATGCCTTGGCCCCCGAACAGCAAGTGGCCTGCCTCCCATGTTTACCATGCAGCAAGTGATAACATCACGATCTCTCTTGCCACCACTAAGATGCTCCAGAATTCAGGGTGGCCCCCCCTTCAGGGCGCCCCGACTCAGACAACCTGCCTCTGACCCACTCCCGTGAGTGCACACGTGTCAATACACAAACCCAATTTGCTTAGTTGGGAGAAAACCCAGCCTTGGCAACAAAAGTTAGGGTACAGGGTGGGGGTGATCTTGCCAAGGGCACCCCTTTGCAGTCTTCACCCCGTCTCCTAGTTGACGCTCGTTCAATTCAGCTAAAGCCAGTGCTTTCTAATGACAGCAACCGAGTCTCTCGGTGTGCTCCTTATTTACGACACCCACGGGAGTTGAGTAACTGTCAATTACTCTTGCAGGGAAGGAGGTAAAGAACCTTAAGTGCGTTTTATACCTTTACCCTGAAGGAGAATATCAGGTAAAATGGAAAGGAATGGGGTCCTGTGAGCACCATGCTCAATTTCAACGCACTTGTACACACAGCACATCAAGGCCTACCTCCCGACTGATTCTTGCGCCTAGATTCACGGCTTTAGGGAGACTACAGCAGCTTATGGAATCCGTGCCTGCAGCCGACGGCATTCTTACTCATTCCCTCGTTTCTGCCCGTTTTGCGGAGCCGCACTCTCCTCTTCCTGGCTCTGCTTACATCTCGTGAAAGCGCTGCCGGCTCCAGTGCCCGGTGCGCCCGCTCACCGCCCTGCACCTTCAGACCCGTCCCTGCTCGGACTTCACGGGAATAGATTTCAATCAAGGAGTTCTTAAGGCGTGCTCCAAGCAAGCCGACGGGAGGCACTCGGACGCGCTGAGTCGATGACAACTGATGTGACACGTCAACGGAAGCACTAAGGAAAGACAGTTAACTCGACACACGCAAGCTAAGGAGAGGAAAGCGGTCTGGCCTTGCGGCTGACAGAAGAGCCAGCCTGTCGTGGCCATGTGACCTAAGCGGCCCGATCTTCCTCTCCCAGCTCCCTGCGCTCACTGCCTGGGCTGCAAACACCATCCTAGGCCAGAAAATAATTCAGTTGCAGGGAGACCCAATGGAGAATCCAACTGTCTGTGGCCGACGGATACAGGGTCATCGAGTGTGTCCAACCACCCCCTGGCGTGGCCATGCTCGGGGCATCAACGGCCCGGTCAGATCTCCTATTTATAGCACCGTATCCCTGGAGCTCGCCACAAACTGCTCAAAAGCCTTTGGCAAGTCCTCTTCTGCCGTCTCTGGAGTGGAAAGGGCACCTGGGAAGAAAAGGAAGGCGGCCACACGGTGAGCCCCAGCAGGGCCCGGGTTTGGACCATGTGAGGTGCTCCAGCCCATTGGTACACTTCCGCCTCCAAGAGAAGAGCCACCCTGGGTGCCTGGGAGACTTAGTCGGTTGGGCTCCGACTCCTGGTTTCAGCTCAGGTTGTGATCTCGAAGTTCATAAGGTCTAGCCCCATGCTGGGCTCCACGCTGACGGTGCGGAGCCTCCTTGGGACCTCTCTCTCTCTCTCTCTCTCTCTCTCTCTCAAAATAAATAAACTTAAAAAAAAAAGAGCAGCGCAAAATGTGAGATTCCCCAACTTCCTCCTCAGCTTAAACTGGAGCCAGTAGAGAACTCTAAATTCCTCATTAAATCCATTGACTTTTGCACATTGGGGGTGGGTGGGGGGAGCTCCTTTCCTGAAACAGCGAACCACTTATTCCCTTCTGAATCTAACGCAGCGGAGACTGGGGCTGCTCTCACTGCCTCGGTGACAGGCCCCACTGGCTGCCCAGGAGGGTCCTAACGCGGACTCCGCCCGCTAACAGTGCCTCACGGCCGAACATGGACCCCACCACTAAGCTGCGTTCTGGCCAGGAGCTGCTCACTGAGTGGCCGGAGGTGACCAGCTGAGTGAGGAGACCGTCATGCTGTCTCGCTGGGGAGGTCGGCACCCCTCTGCCTGGGAGCTGGAGGCTCGTCGGGAAGGGCCTGCTAATTTATCGTTATAATTAGGATCTGTTTTTATAGTTTCAGTTGCTGGCAGAGAAGGACACAGGAGCTCTTTCCAGAGATTACTCCAGGGGGCCGCTGGTGCTGCCTGGGCCTCGGCGGGGCTGGCAGGGGCTGATGCCCGGGGGTCTGCACCTGCCCCTTTCTGCCCTCCCTCTCCGAGCACACCCCCCTCCCCCATCTCTTCTTCCCCTCCAGGCACAACTCTCTAGATGCATTCACAGCACTTTTGCAATGGCCACACCAGCCAGGCTCAGCCCGCCATGCGGCCTGAGCAGCAGTAACAAAAACACAGGACGACTCCCGGTCTCAGAAGAACAAAGTCTGTATGAACAACACTGAAAACAGACCTGAGTCCCCCTGGGGAAAGCGTCCAGGGTCGGGCCCTTCATTCGAATCGGACTCATGAAGGCTGTTTTCCTCCACACTCGCCGTGGCTGCCGCGCCCTCGTGGTGAGCACTGCCCACGGCCATCGCTGGGCTCTGCCGGGGAGTCTGCACCCAGCATGCCACGCCCGCACCGCAACCCCCTCTTTCTCTCGCACATTCACCGAAGTGCTACATCCCTCTCGAAGGCCCAACTCGTCCACAGCACCAGAGGCCTGCTCCCCGTGCTGCGGACGTCTGCGGGGTCTGGTCCGTATCTCTCACCCTCTTTGTACCGGGGACCCACCGCTCTGGGGTTGAACTGTTTTTTGTTGTTGTTGTTTTCAAATACACGTTGTCTTCACTCTCCAAGCAGCTTCCAATCTCCAACCTTATGCTTCCCCTGCCCTCCCGACAGTGCCCAGCAAAGTACGTCGTGTGAAGCAGGTCTTCAACAGACCCGCGTCTGGGACCGCCTAACGTCCCTGCTGGGGTGAAGGCTGGAGGGCGCGGGTGTCCAGAGGCCCCCCCCCCCCGTCAGCGCCCAGCACTAGGCGTGGCACCCCCAGAGACCCAGAGCCCTCCTTCTCCTCAGGATTGGGCCGCGCGGGACACGGATCTCTCCTCCTCCAGTTCAAACTAATATTCGTGGAAAAAAGGACAATGTTGCAGTCCTAGCCAACACGCATAGATCAGAATAATGAACAAAGCTAGCAGCCAACCAGGAGGAGTCATTTCACAAAAACACTGTCGCCGCCTCCAGGATGGAGCTGCCAGGGCGCAGGCGGCTTTAATATTTAATGCAGCGATTCGAGGGGGTAGCGAAGGGGCCTGGCCAGGAATGGAACATCAAGTCAGTGAAATCAGGATGATTATTACTTATTCAGAACCCACTCAGGAACCGACACAAAGTTGAAAGCAAACTGGTGACTTTGCATCGTTGTTAATTCATCCCGGACTAGATTCTTTTCCCTGAGTTCTCGTGGTCCTAAGAGTAGGACCCCGAGGCAGTGACCAGATCAGAGCAACCTAAAAATAAAGAACAACACTGTTGAAGCAGAACCGCCACCGATGATGGGGAGTGGGGATAATCACTGCTACCTGAAAAGGACAGCTGTCTTTCTGAGCCGCGCGAGAGCGATGGCCCGGGCACACGCAAAGGCGCAGACGGCGGACGCGAGCATGCCACAGCCGGTTCACAACACGTTTCCATAAAGACTTAAATTCGAAACGAAATGCTGTTTCCTACCTTAACTGCCACGTGCTCCTCTCCATTTCAGTCGGCAGCATGACGCGTCGATACAAGTGATCACGTCCCTGCACGGTGGCACGTCTGTGAATCAAGAGATTTTTACCTGTAGTTACAAAAGTAACGTATACAGCTCACAAGGCACCCACGCCTCCCTCGGCGACTTGAGGGAAAGAGGGAAGGAAGATGCAAGCTTGCTTCCCAGTAAGTAACCGGCGCACCCGCCCTTGCTGCTCCGCTCCAAGATACAGCAACGGGCAGGCTTGCAAGAGAAATGAAAATCTTGTTACCGAGCCCATGAAGGCAGCTCCGTTTCTAAGTTGTAAATTGACATCACGTAGGCTGACAGAAGAACTGTAAAGCCGGCTCAGAGGCACCTGCCTCCCTCGGCTGGCTCTCCTGAGAACGTTCCCGAAGACAGAGGAGCAAGCCCTGGGAAGCACTGCTAACCAGGCCGCGGTGTCGTGCGTGGTCGCCCGAGGCTCCCCATGGGCCTTACACCGCCCCCGCCCGTCTGCCCTGTCACCCGCTCAAGGAGACCCACGATCAGCGATGCCGTCCGCCAGGGATACAGCATCACTTCCAGAGGCTCCCAACTCTGACCACCTAGTGGACCCAAAGGTTTCTCGTGGTGGGGAGAGGAGCACGTGGACCCATCTCACGGCCACGGGTGGGTGCCGTGTGCAAATCCCATGTGCCACGTAATACTGGAAGTTAAAGGAAGTCAAGGCATAGCCTTGGATGCGCGGTGGCGCTGGAGACATCATTCTGACAGGACGTTTGAAATGTCCTCACAAGGAGTATTTCTGCCACATTCTCGATGAGGGCTCCCTTTTCTCTTTTTCAATTCTGCATTTGTGTTCCCAGTCACATACAACATTTTACATGGACAAATTACCAACGAGTGGCCCTCGCTCCTCACTGTTGGGCCTCAAGTGCACTGAGCAAAGGGTTCTCCAAGGTCATTTCTGACAATATTTAGAAAGATATTGAAACAGAAGCTCTTACACTGATTTGTTAACAAAGGATGGGGGTAAGCAAGAGCCACGTGACCCAGATTCTGTGATCAAAGGGGCTCCCTATGCTAGATAACATCACATCACAAAAATACGAGAGGGAAAAAGAGAACATTAGTTTGTCTCTGCTCCTCTCAGCTGCCTCCCATTCTCTGGGGAACCTGAGCGAGAACCTTTTATTCCACAGGGCTTTTGCTTACATAAAATGTGTCGTGAGGCAAATCATAAGCCACGTCTCCTATAGATCGCCTTATGATCACTTTCTGGAATTAAAATCTCTGTCTACCTGACTTTGTGTCTATGAAATATTTATGCTCTGCTCACATGTCTAAGGGAAAACAGTTTGATTTTTCTTGGCAACTTCGACTCAAAGTATCACACCTCCCTCTGTGAGTCTCGGATTCATGGAGCCAAAGCCTTTGCAGAGACCTAAAGACAACGTCGGTTAGAGGACAGAGCACTCCACCTGGCCATCATCTGCAGCAGCGACAGCAGGGCTGGCGACCCCACCCCCACAGGTCTTTGCTCCGAGAACTCCTAGGACAGTCTCCAGTAGGAAAATTGGCCTAAGTGGACTTCACATCACCAGTGTATTCATTATGAGGCCACCATATGCGAACGTGTATGTGGACACTCAGAATTTAAGGACACACATTTCCTTTGCACAAGGCTGCACTGAGACACTTCCTGTTCCTCCCCGGGAGTCCTTATGCTGAAGCCCCGATGTCATCAGAGCATCCGTCTCTGGTTTCGTCACCTGAAGCCACCTGCCTAACATGATGAGGTGCATAAGCACCATCTACAAAGGGTTAAAGGGCACAGTGCTTGTCATCAGGGAGCTGATGGTCTAACACCGTGAATAGCACCCCTACGGGAACAGTCACCACAACTGAGCATTAAACAAGTAAATTGCGATACGTACTCCCTCCTTCAGCCTAATATCTGACCTCTGCCACCACCTGATGCCCAGACCTTGTTCCTCTTCAACAGCTGTTTTGCTTCTCCCCTTCTGGACACCTGCTGGGGCTGTACTTCCCGGCCCCCCTGCTTGGGTGTGGGACCGGCTTAGCCAGTGAGCTCCGAAACTCCCAAGCGAGAGGATCTAAGACCAGTGTGAGGCCCCTGTGGCCACCTTTTTTCTTTCCGCCAAGGCAACGAACGAGACTTCCGACATCGATTGCTCTGCTGTCTCAGGGCTTAGAGGTGAGGACAATGTGGAGCAGAGCTGGTGTACACATCGGGGACAGGACACGTGAGAAGGAAATAAACCTCTGTCGTTTTCAACTGCATTGATTTTGGGATTGTCTGTTACACAGCACAGCCCTGAGTATCCTGAATGCTGTACTGTGATAAGGAAGGAACTTTCCCCAAAGTCATAAACATGCACGTAGGTAAACTTTATGCAGGCTTCTCATTCTCATGTGGAATTCAGTAGAGCACCTGGTGCTGCTTGTCACCTGTGGCCTCTCCTCCATGGTACTTTCGCATTCTTTCCCAGTCCTGCCATCGGCTCTTTTCTGTTTCCTCCTCCTCCTGTGACCTACCTGCAGGCCCTCCTTAGGCCACTTCTTGCTCTCTTTTTGGGAGACTTTATCCATCGTCTTGACTTTGAATAGTATTCCAATTCGAGTCCAGTGTTCTCTCCGTTCCTACGACTTCTCAAAAGCCAGCACGACCCAAACAGGTTTGCCTCATCTCCAAATTGCCATCTTGGTGACCTGCCCATTCTGCTTTCCCGTGCTTGAACTAGCATGCCTGCTTCCTCTCTGTCCTTCGTGCCCAGTTAGCCAAGAAGTTCTCCTGGTTCTTTTTGGTTTTTAATCTGCTTCCTGAATATATCCCTTTCTTTCCACCTCCACCATACCAGCACCTTCAAGAGTCAGGACTCCAGTAATCCAACCCTGGCATCCTCTCTGAATCCTTCTCGATATATCCTGCAACTCCCTCCCAGATTTGTCTCTGCAAACATCCGTCGTACGGATCAACTCGTTGGGCAGTGTTCTGTCTCTCCTACCAGTCAAATGAAGTTCAGGTCTCTCCTCCTCAAGTTCTAAGTCTTCTGTCTTTATCTAGTGGGCTTGACTTCAAACTTTGTGCTTTACACGTTTGGTCTGTTTCTTTCCCTTTCCCTGAATTGCCAACTCATGATGAATGTCGGACACCTGTTGCTTCTAGATTCCAGCACCCGTCTCCCTTCTTCATCTGGTAATGGCACAACGACTTTGGAGCACTGTCTCTCCCCCATTTCATGTGATTCTGGCAGGGCCATCAGCCAGAGGCCACAGAGTGGACATCTGCTTACGGTGATCTTGTGCCCCAGTTTTCCTATCAGGGTCCTAGGTCATGCCTGTTGTCCCAACAAAACTAATAGCAGCACCCCATGTCTACCCTCAAAAGTGTCTTCAGTTAGGTGCACACGGAGTCACCCTACACATGAACCAAGAGAGCCCATTAGAATCCATCTGTGGGATCATGACATACAGGCTAGGAAAGAGACATTCACTCTGGAGGCCAACCGTAGCCCAGGTTGCTGGCAGCTATGTCTTTGTCACAAGAGGAGGCTGCTCTGTAGCGGAACAGGGAGGCCAGCATTCAGAGGGAAGGATCTTTTCTAAATTCCTGGATCCAGCACATCTCACGTCTAGGAGCCAATAAATTCCCCTTCTGGGAACAATCTAGTTTGAGGTGAATTCTTGTCACCTGCAACCAAAAGATACTTCAGCACAACTTTTTCAGGCAGACGTTGATCTGGGAAGTTTTTATTCTCTGAATTCTCATCATGATTACAGCCTCTGCCCTGCAGCCTCGTAAGTACAGTGTTTACACCTAACGTCCAGTTGTTTCGGGATGTGGGGCTCTTTTTCTCCAAGATCAAAACTATAAGCTCCTGGGAGAAGACAGGGACCCCATTTAATCTCTTCTCATATTTTCTTGAGGCCAAACAGGGTGCTGTGTACACAGCAGGCACCCAATAAATATTTGTTGAGGATATGAGTCACAAATGGAAAGGTAATATTGACTGTGTGTCTGGGCAGAAGACAGTGTGTCCGGTGGGAAGGGGGCAGTGGGCCGTCACCCGCTGAACCAGGCTAGGCCCGCAGGGTGGACCAGGAGGGTGCACTTCACCGTCTTTCTTTTGGAGGAAGAGCTTCTCTGCTTCTTTCACCCAGACTCCATGCCTTCACCTTATCCTCTTCAGCCATTTGTCTGACTTCCTCCCCTCCCTCTGGGACCATTCCAGGACAATGGTGACCTCCCCATGACTGACCCTAATGGACACCCCCAGGTTTTGTCTTGTTCTTTGAGAAGCAGGAGCTGGTGAGCCAGTTCTCCCTCTTGAAATATCTGTCTTAGCCTGTCAATGCCTCCCCCTCCTTATTTTCCTCCTGAGTTCTCTGGTTGCTCATTCTCAGTCCAGTTTCCCAGTGCTGGCTTTCCCAAGGCATAGGCCTGCATCCTCTTCTCCACATCTTGTCCCCCCCTAGACAATCTCATCAACACACTATATGCTGATGACCTGAAACTTTACTTCCCAGGCCAGACCTCTTCTCCGAGTTCCAGATGCATGTATCCGATCACTTATTCACCCACTTTTCTCTTTTGTCTCATAACCGGTATGTCCTGAACTGAAATCATTATTTCCACTTATTGGTAACAGTATTTGTGGTTACCAATAGCAGGAAAAACAACGAAAAATTGCCTCGAACAAGAAGGATGTGTTATCTCACATTACAAGAAATCCAGGGGCAAGGTAGCCACCAGCAGTTCAACAGCACCATCACAACCCAGCTGCTTCCACTTTCTGCTCAGCCAGCTCAGCAGAAGGACATGGTCCTTAACCTTGGCCCTTCATGTTAGCCAAAAGGCGACTATTCCCAAGCATCCTCAAAATACCTTCCGGAAGTGGGCTTTGTCCTAACGCATACCCCTTTTTTATTAGGGAGAAAATGCTTTCCTCAGAAGCCCTCTCCCCCTGGAAGACTGGATCACATGGTCATGCCCTGTGTACAAGGGAAGCTGTGAAGGTAAGGTTTCTGCATTTCCATAGTCACTGTCATCTCTTATCTA